GACGCGCGTGAGTTGGAGCGCCCCACCGCGAAACGTTCCAACAGTGCACAAGAATTGGGTGATGTGGCCGAGGCTATAAAGGAGAACGGACCACCTGCATCACCACTGGCTGGTATGTGTTCGTAGTGTAAACACGTTGTTTTGTTCTTTGATTGACTGTTTCAATTAGAGAATATTGGTTCTCGAAAATACTTGATATCTTTGGTCTTCCTTACCCAATCACAGATACCATGCCAAAACTTGGCCATTCAATGTTTGGCAACGATACCGGAATGGTTGTCTTCTGTGATACGTTCCATACACACGGTTGAACTCGGGCCGCTGGTTGTTTCCTCCGAGTTAACTACGTAAACAGTGCTCGTCAGTGTTTCTGTCTCCCTCTTTGTCCTCAACTTTGTAACAAATGTAATTTTACAAAAGGCTCTATCCTCGCATGATAACGAGGACATTGATATTTTCCAGATAGCAGTTAACGATAAAGTGTTAAGCTTTTCTGGTCAGTTTAATTCAGTTACTGTAATTTTCTGGGGGTCATTCACCGCTGTTAGATCACGGGCACGATTGTCTAATATTCATCTAACCTCGCCATTGCTTGATAGCGGTGCTCGAACACAGATAGTCTGTTTTTTTATCTTTCTTCGGTAACAGCTGTATCCCTGCACCGTATGAACTGTAGAACTGTAGCGCCATCACGAATGGCCACTGCCCAGTTAATGGTGATTTGCTGTGGGAGCTCGGATTGGGTAACTCGGACAAAAGTGCGTCGAACTAGTTGTGATATTGACGAACGGGATGGCGGCTGCGGCTAGTTTTACGTTGCCATCGGACTTGGCGTGGTTCAAGCACACAAACCACAGAATAACGACCTGGCGTTTTATGTCTCTCAGCCACCACTGGCTCATTTTAGACTGCAATACACATTGAAAAGCCTACCATTCTCAGTCACGTGAGTCTGTTGGATGAGGGGGAACGGGGGGGGGGGGGGGGTTAATGATTGCAACTGAAAGAATTATAATGCTGAGCCAAATATGAATCCAAATGAGTTGCGTCGGTGATGATCGTAGTTCTGGTGAAACATCCGTTGGTTCTGTTCCTATCTACTCATATCATTACTCGTTCAATTACTTTTGATAGTAATACTGTTATAAATTCACAAGACCGATGGATCGGGTCATATTACAATGAAACATGTAGTCTGCATTAGTTGGTTAATGGTTTCACCAATGCCCTCTTAATCAGTGGTCAAACAGTTTGACAGTCTCTTTGCATCTTTTGTTGTTATAATAGTAAACTCTTCGGTCCGCGCCCAGATATTTTGTCCTTCTTTTGAAATGCTTTGAGAATCCACCAACCGCCTCTTCACGCGCGCGCGCGCGCGCACCCAATTGTGAGTGGAACCTCCACACAAAACGCTTTGTCAGTCTTCTTCGGACCTTAGGCAGTTTCTTACTTGGCATACCGGAGTTTAAGTTGTCAGTTTACAGCAATGTGCGCGGGGCTGTTCTGAGTTCACTTTCTGCTGTTCACAACGCCACGCTGTGGGACGAATAAACAACAACAACAACAACAACAGAAAACCACCAATAGTTAATTCAATTACACCAGCAGGTACTCTGTAAATACAGCCCTATCGATCGATTCCCATGGTTCTTGATCAGCCAACCTATCCCACCGAAAGAGGCCGGTTTTCTGGACACAATCCGTTCCTCCCCATGTGTTGATTAGCCGTTCTTCATCTGGTGAACCTTTTTTTGTGGCAGTGAAATTACCCATTCCTCCTCAAACACACACACACACACGCATTGATTCAGTGTGATTTGCTAGTGAACAAGTTGATTTGGGACAGCCCGCGCTCATTCAATGGGTTTTTTTTAGTTCAGTTGAATTGAAGACAATTTTTACCTACTCCTGATTAATTTCGTTCCTTTCTTTTTTCGCTGTTCAAATAACGCTCCAAATTTACAGTTCGTCCAAAGTTTACATGTGTGTGCTTTTTGTTTGTAAAGTAGCTTTTGTGCTCTGAAATGCATGCGGAGTTTTTGTGACAATACACAAGAAAACAAACTGCTATCAATAAATCGACGTTGCTTACTTCGTCGCGAGAATAGAAGATCGAGCCTTTTGAAAGTATTTAACGCTGTTTGTCTTCTTCTCCTAAAGAAGAAGAGTTGTCGATCTATATACCGGAAAATAATTTCAGTAGCCCAGTGTTGGGTCGCAAATCCCCGAATACCCCCACCCCGCGTTCACCTGATCACTTCGGCACATATGCCATGCGGATAATGTGGTCGGTGAAAAGGGTAGCCGGTTCTTACTTACGTAAAATTTTCGTGTTTAGTCAAAGTGAGCTCATACTGAGCGTCATTTTTTGAAAATATCTGACGTGGTTAGCTTTAATTAGTCTGTTTAGAGATGAGTTGGTACTATGAAAAATCAATCCCCGAAATCGGTTCGTTTGTCCTCACACGATCGGTTTGTTTTGTTTGTGTTTCTAATTCAAACTGGCTGATCGTGTTGCAAATTTTACCCGATAAGTTTCCCCGGTACCCTAGGCAGTAGTTGTACGAAGGCCAAGGGTGGTTAGACTATAACGTGATATGAGGGTACCGAAACCGGAGGAGGAGGACTTATTCATATCAATCGACTTAGACCTCTAGCTTGAGGAACTCGGGACGAGTGTAATGAATAGCCCGAGGAATCGGGTGTAGTAGTAGAGTAGGAGATAGCGTCACTCACGCATCTATTCACTTTCTAAACCTATTTAGTTTTTAAATGACTGTTTTTTTTACCTTTTTATTTATTGAATATACAAATATACAGTCAACTTTCAGGAAGGGGGCCGCGGCCATACAAAGGCTGTCTGCGAAAATATAGAAATTGGAAAGACGGGCAGTGATGGAGCCGTTCGAACCCGGGACTCTTGGGTCACAATTTGGTGACCTAATCACTTGGTCACTCGATGTGCGTTTTTAGTCTTGGTACTGCTTTTGGCTTTTCACTCTTTTCTTCATTGGTTGGGCAACCGAAAGTCAGCAACCATAAACCAGGTGGTAAAAGTAGTTTATTGGATCTCCCAATGTGAATTCGGATTATTTTTTTTATTTATAACACCCAAGGGTGATGAACAGCAGACAGAGCTAACCCTATAGTCACGAGGACCTGCTGTTCAGTGATGGAAACCGATCACCTTAGCCCCGGGAATGGGAGTGGCGAATCACATAAGGCCCCGCTGGGCTAGGTGTGAGACTGAACCGGACGACAGCAAGGCTGTCGACCACCTATCTTATAGAGTTGTTTTGAAATAAGCCTACCTCGAAGAATCACTACAATAGTTCACATGTTTTTTCGGGGTTATACACGTTCGCACCCAGCAAGCTCGACATCAGGGTCAAATTTTGATGGTTTTGTACTAAGAAGTACTTGAATGACGTCACATTGACCGTCGGTCAGGTGCGTTCGCATCGTGTCAACCCCATGCAATCTCGTCACCCCTTCAGGTATGTCGGCAATCTGTGACTAGTGGCACATTCACATTACACGAGAGAAATCGGTAAACAGTTGGTAACGGAAGACCGCATCCCCTCCCCCCCAGTTAATGACGATATGTTACAGTGATCTGGTTTGCACAAATGGTTGGGTATTTCAGTTCCAATACTTTTTCGCAGAACTTTTTCATCTTTTACTATGTTTGGTTACCCTCCAGTGCAACGGCAAGAATTAAACAGACGTCTCGGTCTCGATGACGATAATGTGGTAAATTCGGTCCTGGCCACGCATGCGAATGTTTCATTAAATCACTGGATCGGTTCGGACGATTTGGAAGATCAAACGCCGTCCAGAAGTGGACCGATCTGTCAGCTGGACGTCGCGGTATGTTCACATTCTAATCATAAGTGGTACTGAGCTGTTGTACCGTGTGTGTGATGACATTGGTGTTTGTTGTGCGGTGTTGTGTTAACGCTTTGTCAAACCGTTATGCACGTGCGAGCACGCCATACATCATTCATCCGTTCTCCCGACGTGACAAACCGTACTTCATTGGGACCTTAACAGAGATTTCAGTCACACAATCTCTTATTTTTCGTCTGATCAACCTTAAAACTCGATCACTGATTTCGGTTTTCAGTAACACGTTCGATTTGAGCTTACTATGGAAAGATGTGACACTGAGGAGTCTATCAGTATCTGCTGCCTTTCATTCTTGCCTCTTTTGCTCATAATCGTGATCTTCAGACCATAATCTGATATCAAAGTATGAAAGTTTTGCCCCGGTGAACGTGTTCATTTAGATCAGATAAGACCTGTCGGTTGCACACGTCGGAAGCAGCCTAATCAACAATTAGAAACAGAAAGTGATATGACTGAGTGTTGTGTATAGTAGCACTCGTGCAGCCACTCTCTATACCCGTAGTTCAAGTTTATTTGCCTTTCGTATCTTGATTTTAGTACTTCCCGTTAGCTTTAAACACAGCCATCACGACGAGACCTGGCACGAGGGTATGAAAACCCTAACCATAGACTCGGTCATATAGGTCGCGTTAGGCCCCCGGGATCATTGTGATCTCTGGTTAGAGACACTGAGTGATATGGCTGAGTGTCGCAAACAGTGTCTTTCGTGCATCTGTCTTTGCAACGTTAGTCCACTGAAAATCTCAATTTTCTCTTGAACTGTGCTTTGAACTTTCCTGTCTTTCAAGTGCTATTTCGCCCAAAGGGGTAGCCAAAAGACAGCAACCAAAACTGGAGCAGCAAAGTGCATGGCTATTGGTTGTAAAATATAAAAACTGAACTTAAACACTCGTTTCTAATTGGTCAGCCATAAAGGAGTAGCCGAAAGGCAGCCAATGCCGTTACACGATAGTACCAAGTGAACGGGTGTGCGAACTGAAAGCATTTCTCTGAGAGGAAGAAGGGAATTATCCTCATACTATTTCATTTCACTCAGTTCAAAATTAGATTTCTTGGATCGTTTTGTGAGGAAGAAGCGTATATTCATTAAGTGAGTGATGGAGGATTTGAGTTGATTTCAAAGGTTATTCGTCGTGTATATGGCAAACGAAACGTGAACTGAAAAGCTAGGAAGCACTGGACAGCTGTTTCGACCTGTTTGGGTCTCATCAGTGGTGCGAATCCATCGACCCCACTGGGGATCGAACCCGGGACTTCATGGGCAGAACGCAAGCGTGCTACCCACTACGCCACCGAGCAGCTGATCAGACCGTTTGCTATATACACGACGAATAACCTTTGTATATTCATTAGTTTACTCTTAATTTTCGTTTATTTGACTCTTCCCACTTAACCTTGATATGTATGCTATTTCGATGTCAAAAAACGCTGTTATAAGCTTATTCTCGTTTACATGTCCCAGGTCACCGGTTCCTCGTGCGTACTAAATTTTGTAGGCTAATGCGAAAGGATTGATTTCATTTCGTAATCAAAAGTACATAATTGAACTCTTTTTCTGGGTGTGGTGATGGGGATTTTTCTTTCTTCCCATTCGGAGTCTGAAGAAGAGAGAGAGAGAGAGAGAGAGAGAGATGGCGGGACCAGTGCGAGCCAGAAAGCTGTGGGCGATATCGGTCGAGTTGAATTGTTCAAAATACGTGACACATCTGTGACTGGGTTTCTTATCGATTGAATAGTAGCGATTCACCACTTTTCCTCTTCAGAACTAATCCTCGTTCGATGAAGCACAATTAATAATCGTCAATTTTTCTTTGTGAACATCCCAAANNNCCAAAATTTTCTGTGAACTTTTACCTTATGAAGATTATAATAATTTGGTGATGTGCTGTGCAAACATTTAGCCAGATTGCGGGATTGATATTGCAAACAACTTGTGTATGTGTGTGTATGTGTGTGTGTGAGCAATAGATTTTCGATACTCAAGCATTGTGACCGCAAGCTCACATGAGACTAAATAAGAAATAACATTTTCATCTTACGAGGTTCACTTTGCTAGGAACAGTTTCCTATGTCAAANNNNTCAAATGCTAATCCCCATAACCTTTCACCTTCGTCTGTTTTCATCATCACAGACTTGTGTTCAAACGGCCTACACCTCGAGAAACGCGAAGGTTGGTAAAAGGTCAGTCTTCAAACGCATTTATTCGTCTCTTGAGTTGAAAATAATTATTCTGTTGTGTCCGTACATGAACAATTATCCTCTCACTCGTAACTCTCATATATGTACACTGTAACCACTTAACAAAGTCTCACTGTTGGTATTCTGAAACTCTCCGTCAGCGGGTTTCTTTTGCTTCGGTCAATACACTTTACCTACCCAGGGCCAAGTCATGCTCTAAGACTAGATTGAAGCCGATTATAGTGAGCTTTTTCTCCCACCGGCACAATTGCTTGACCAATAATGATAGCCTAATGGAGGAGTTATCCGCACACGCGAAACGAAACCTCCTGGGTCGATCTGTGACGTTTCTTTGGAATTATCTATCTATCTACATAGTTGATCAAATATATACTTGGTCTCCTCGGCTCTTTGTTTATTTGAGAGGGGCCGAATTTTCCCGGTTTAAGAGGTTAACCGTGGACGTGCGGTTTCGCATGGGAAATTTGATTAGAACATCCAAAATTGGACTGCCTCTGAGCTTATTTTCTTCTCTGATGAACACAGTGAAAACAAACATTCCAAATCGGGATGAGATGGGGTACAGTACGCCGGTATAATAAGCAGTCACGAGAGAAGACTCGTAAAAAATCAGGAAATTGTATTGTACGTAACGGCACTGTAAAGGTAAATAGGATAATGTACATGGAGAAACTCGACATTACGTGAGGCTTCAATTGTCTCCGGGTTCTTCGTCTGTGGTTTCGCATTCCTTTACTGTGTGGTGATGATCAGATAGGCTGCAACACAAGGAAAAGGCGGCTTTGTCAGAACCTAGTATTTCAAAATGCCAGGCGTCGGGCGGTTCACAAGCGAACAAACATTGATCAAATTTCTTCTTCGACCAGAGGTTAGACAAACCTTGAATGAACTTTGCGATGATGCGTTGTCGCCTACTCAATTTCACACTCTGCACCGGGCCCAAATTTCTTCCATTGCGCTATTTTGTAGTCATATCTGGAACTGTTTACTATATTCAGCATAAAGAAATTCACCTTTTCGCTGTTCCGTTCATGACATTCTTCATTGTTTAACCAATTGCCTGTTGCTTTGCGCTCGCCCCTTTTTTTCCTTTTCTATCGTCATTACCACAAATGTTTTGCTCCGTGGTGCTTACCGATCTGGTGCCTCCCCCGTTTCGTTTGCTCACGAGACCCGGTTCACAAGCTCCAAGTCACGAGGTAACTCCTCAAGCGTTACGGACAGACGACCGCACCAAAATCCTCTTTTTTTTCAAGAACTACCGAATGTGTTACCGCACTTCCTCAGTCTGTGCCCCCCCCCCCCGTTCTTATCACCGTTCTATATTCAATCGCTGAATTAACAAGTGTTTGGGATAAATATTCCCTCATCCTCACTGTACTCTAGCCTCGAAAATTATGGGTTTTACCTGTTCACAACACATACTTGTTATGTAAACAAAGTTACATTAAAATCTAAGCTCCCGAGGAGGACAAATGAATTATTGGTCTACCTACGTTTAACCTATTGCACATTACGTAACATGTCTGTCCGTAAGTAAACGCCATTAACACAACCCTAGAGCCTATCGCACGGTTTACTTATATAGTATCGAATGGTTTCCAGTTGTCACCTTGGGCTGTATCGTCATTACTCGCACGAGACTGGGCACAATGGATCGGAAAATCCTTGTCAGATGTCGTCTACTCTGATGCTTGGTCAAGAAGTAGCTGTGGAATTTTTCTTTTACGTAGGTAGCTGCGTGACAAACGACGGAAGCAAAGTCAGTGAAGTAACCGCCTGCATTTCCAAGGGCCGACCAGCTTACGCAAGACTGAAACATCTTTGATGCTGACGCGGTGTTTCGTTGAAATTCAAAAGTCGTGTATACTGCGCCTGTGTGTGGTTACTTCTCCTTTGGGTTTTCAAGACCCTAAACTTGTGCGTGGAAGATACTCTTCGTCTAGAAGTTTTCGACTGCCTATGCTTACGTAGCTTATCGCGGGTTGGATGTACGCATGTTGCATGTAAGTGACTCTGAGGTAAGGCGTCGCATAATTAGTAATGATTCTATGGAAAATTCATTGTCCCATCGAACTCAGATAAGTCGAATTCGCTGGTTAAAACACGCATTTCACATGCCCAGCCATCGTCTACAGTACCGCGCCTTATTCGCAGTCGCGGTTCCGTTGAGATCAACAGATGACGTGGAGACGATGCATGAAGAAATACACACAGCGGTTAGAATTATTGTCTCCCGTCTTCCAGGTTGAGGTACGAAAGACTCTTCAAATGGTCGGTTGGAGACAATGAATGATATGGTGATTAACCGACAGCAGTGGTGTTCTTGTTGTCATTTCTTATCAGACCAGAATGTTTGAAACGGTATATATGCAGTTAGATTGTGTACTCTGTGTGCTGACCATGGAGGTTCACTNCCCCCCCCCCCCTATCTTATGCTTTACCACTTTATTTGTGCACATTGTGAGGTTGACAGTGATCAGCGAAGTTCACTTCCCTGTATCCCGCTGTTCGATGATGGTGATGATGATTTTCGGATGGACCAACCAGTAAAGCTGACTGACGAACAAAGAACATTGGGACAGAAAGGGGCAGACCAGTGGTAACTTACGAATATGAAATGAGGACAGGTTGATTTTACCAATGGTAGTCAGAAGATAAGAAGGTAATCAATAATGTCCACTGCCAAGGGGTGAACCGTCATCTATGGTCAAAGGTTCAGTCGGTTGGTCTGAACAAACAACAAAGAGTAACTCCAT